GTGTTTTCTTATCTTTTTTTTTATTCCCCCACCCTCCCTTCCTTTCATTTTTTCTTGGGCTTGTGGGTGTGTGGGGGGGGGGGTCGGGTCCCTGCAAGCATGTAAAGGTGAGAGGACAGCTTGCAGAAGTCAGGTCTCCCCCTTCTAACATGTGGGTCCAGGGAATAGAATCAGGTGACCAGGGTTGGCAGCTGGCACCTCTTTGTCAGCTGGCCCTTCTGTTTTGTTTATTTTCCTTTGAGACAGGGTCTTGCTTGTAGCCCTGGCTGGATGACTGACTAGGTTGGCCTCAGACACAGAGATCTGCCCAACTCTGCCTCCTGAAGTATGGGGATTATTACCACAGCCAGCCAGCAGGCTCTTCTCTATGCTCTCTTGATCTGTTTACTCTCTGCTATAGTATGGATATGAACTGATCCCCAAGGTGTGGCTTAGTTCCCAGTGCATTTGGTGCTGGGAGGTTGTGAAGGGACAATTTAAGAGAGGAAGCTAAATTGGGAATGGTGGGAATGCCTGTAATCCTAGCACTGGAGAGGTTGGAGGATCACACATTGGAGACCAGCTGATCTGCAAACAAGACCCTGGCTCCAAAACAGGGGTGGGGAATGAGTAGTGGAGGTCCTCCTATGTAACTGGGGTAAGGCAACCCCTCTCCCATCTCTGCCTTATTTTTATGCTCTAGCCACCAACAGCTCTGTTCCACCAAATGTTCCTGCTGACATCTGCCTTACAGGGCCAAGCACCTGGGGGCATAAACCTGCAAAATGGCTAACCAAAATAAGCCTTTCTCCTTTATAAAATGATTATCTCAGATTATTTTGTTGTAATAATAGACAGCTGACTAGCACACTAATAACAAAACCAATAGAAGATAAGTACTGTTAATTTCATGATATTTTCTGTTCACATGTTCAAAAGAATTTTGGTTTTTGCATTACTGAAATTTGTCATTTGATAGGGAATGAATTCTTAATAAATGGGATTATATTTTATTTTTAAATATTTATTTCAGTAGTTCTCAACCTGCATCATGAACCCTAGGGAGGTCAAATATCAAATATCTTGCATATCAGATATTTATATTATGGTTCATAACAGTAGAAAAATTACAGTTATGAAGTAGCAACAAATAATTTTATGGTTGGTCACCACAACATGAGGAACTGTAGTAAAGGGTCGAAGCACTAAGAAGGTTGAGAACCACTGATTTATTTATTTAGTATGCCATGGGACTATGTGGTGGTCAGGGGATAATTTGTAGGAAATGATCATCTCCTTCTACCATATGTGTCCTGGGGATTGAACTTACAATGTCAGGTTTGGTGGCAGGTGCCTTTACTCACTGAGTCATCTGGCTGATCCATTGTGTATCATTTTAATGCATGTTTCTTGCTTTACTTTTTTTTTATTAATGACTTATGACTTGCTGCTTATTTTATACTTCTTTTATACTACAGAAATGATGTTAGACAAAACATAAAATTGAGCAATTTCCTTAGTTGGGGTAAAAACATGCAATAAATCATTGGAGACAATTTTTAACAGCAACAAATTTTGCTCAGGAATTTCTAACAACAGACAGTGCAGTGGTGGTTCAATAAATTTCAAAAAGGAAACAAGAGCCAGGAAGATGAAGATGAAGAGCACAGTGGCTGGACATCAGAAGCTGTCAATGATCATCTGAGAGCAATCAAGACACTGCCATAGTCATAAGGAACTCATAGTCATAAGGCATTTGAAACAAACTGGAAAAGGTTTGAAAGGGCTCAACAAAATGAGTGGCAGGTGGGGCTCCTGGAAATCAAAAGAAACTGTCCAATTTTCTTATTCTCTACAACAATGAACTCATTATGTTGTTACATGTGATAAGGATTGTGTATGATGATGACCAGCTCAGTGTCTGAACCTAGACAAAACTCCAAAGCACTTCCCAAACTAAACTTGCATTAACTAAGGTTATGGTAACTGGTGGGGTCCTGCTGGTCTGTCTCCCTGCAACTTCTTGAATCCTGGCTAAACCATCACATCTGAAACATGTGCTCAGCAAAACATGAAATGCATCAGGCATCAAATCTGCAATTCCTTTGGCCAACACTGGTCAACAGAAAGGGGCCCAGTTCTTCTCCATGACAGCACCCAATCACATGAGGCACGGTGCTTCAAAAGCTGAACAAACTGGGCTACAACACTGACCTTTATCCACCACATTCATTCAGAGGTCAGATGAATGTGACCTCTGCCAACCAGCTACTACTTCTTCAAGGATAACAACTCTTGTAGGGAAAATGTTTTCATAACAAGTAGGATGTAGAAATACTAAGATTTAGTTAGCTGAATCCTGAAACAAGGAGTAGACAAACCTACTTCTCACTGGCAAAAAAATACTTTGACTGCAATGATTCCTATTTTGATTAATAAAGATGTCTGGGCATAATTACAGGATTTGACACGACAATTACTTTTGCAACAGCCTCATATATAGAGCAGCATTTGTTTCATGACAAGTATTTAGTTTTAAAAGTAAATATTTCATCATAAAAATTACACTAGCCATGAATATAATTCCAGACAGATAAAATGGCTAACCATGAAACTATCCATTTGCATTTTCTTCTGCCTCCACTGTATGTACTTCTAAAAGAAAAGAAAGTTAATTTTGAACATCTACAATAGTGTTGTGATGGAATCCCTTAGGCATTATTATATTACTTAATCCTCTTGATATTGTTATTTTACATAGAAAATGAGTGGTATTCAGAGAAATTGAAATGATTTGTCAGAAGTCAGAGTAAATAAGGTTGAATAAATGAATATACAAATAAATGGTAGATGCAGGCTGTGTCTCCAAATCACAAGAGATTTTTAGACATTTTCTTCAATTTTTGATTTTATGTGTTTATGTACATGCACGTGTGTTGTATGGGGAGTGTATCTGCATGCCTATGGAGACCAGAAGTCAATATTCAAAGTCTTCCCCTATGGCTCTCCATCCTATTTCTTTGGAGACAGTTTCTCTCATTGTCTTTCTTCCTTTTGAGTTTTTGTTCATTCTTTTATTTAAAATAGAAACAATCTTACTTTACATATTTCAACATCACCATTTCTCCTAGATTGACTGACTAATAAGCCCTTAGGATCTACCTGTCTCTGCTTCTCCCAGAGCTGGAGTTAAAAGTGCACTGTACATGGTTTTTATGTGGATGCTTGGGATCTGAACTCAGGTCTGTAAGCTTACACAGTAAGTACCTTTACCCACTTGCCATCTCCTAGCCACCAAATGAGTTTAAATTAAAGTATAAGAAATAGAAGAGGGCATAGCGGAGGGCACAGTGGCACACACACACCTATAATCCCAGCACTTGGGAAATAGGATCATGGGTTACATGCCAGTCTGCCTCAACACAACCCCTCAACCTGGGTGGGGGGGGGATTTAGAATCAGAAAGAAAGAATTGCTTATTGAATCATTTACAGAATAGTGTACATGAGGCCTTTTGTTACATACCAGCAATACACGCACACAGTGTCAATTATGAATTATGAACTGCTATATTTCTGTAATTACATGGTGTTCTAAGACTGATTTTTTTTTAAATCTGCAAAATCAACTGTACCCCAGGATACGCTTACCTAATGATTGCAAACATGGAGTTAAAATTCTTGCATTCCCTACAGTGCAGGGCAATCTTGATGAAATGCTTAATGATCTTCATTCTCTTCAGCTGGTTTGTCTCTCGCAGAATTTCCGAAGCTACCCAAAATGTTTCCTGATTAATGACTTCCTCAAATTTCTTCAGGTTGGCACAGCTGGTTTTCGACTTGAGTTTAAATAAATCATCTATGTATTCAGTAGGCTCAATGTTTCGGAAGAGTTCAAAGTTCCTCATGGAGAGCTGTGTGGCGACCTCCACAGTGCTGAGCTGAAGAAGAGAGATTTGGCTCTCCCGCAACAGCTCCTGTGCATCCTCATCTGAGCAAAGCGTTTCGGTTTCCATGTTGTTTTTCAGATAGTACCTGAAGAACAGAAACTCATTACTTGTCAAGCTGAGCAGCAAGCCTATGGTACTCCCTATGGGAACACTGCTAGTTGTGAGGAAGGGTATGAAGGGGGTGGGAAAGAACTAAGAGAATGGTGTAAGGGTTCTCTTTTCATCCATCCAGCCTGAATAGTACAGATGTCGCCCCAGCGATCAGGTCAGTGTCACCAGCTCATAGCACCACCAGGTGACAGCCACCTACTCAGCGGGTAAGTGGAATTGAGCGAAGCACAGGAACTTCCTCTGTGCCAGTCCTATGGTTACACCCCCCACCCACCCACACACACACACAAACACTGAAATACTTTCAGCTTGTTTGCCAAAGGTGACAGAAGAGAGCTGTTTTCCAGATTAGATAAGCATCAGCTCATGGTCCTAACTCACTTTCGAGGGAAGAGGGAATCTGACAGTTGCTAGGTCCATACTAGTTCACTCCAGGTTTGCTTTTTATTTAATGCCTAGGAAACTTACTCACTGAGCTGGCACGTTGGCTCAGTGGGCAGAGGAGCTTGTCATGCAAACCCAGAGACCTAAAGCAATTTACTTTCTTCTATTTGATCTTAAAGCAGATTTTTAAGTTTTTTGGATTTCTTTTACATGTATGAGTGTCTCGCTTGCATGTATGTACCATATACCTAGTTCCCTTGGAAGTCAGAAGAAGGCATAGGATCTCCTGGAACTGGATGGTTGTGAACCATCATGTGGGTGCTAGAAACAGAACTCTGCAATACCAACGAGTGTTAAGTCATCACACCTGCCCCATGATTTTAATTTTTAAATATTTGGATTTTCATGAAACTCATCTAGGGAAGTGAGGGGCATCACACCAATTTGTCAGAATAGGAAGCAGGCATCTGAAGCCTAATGAATGGTCAATATGGACACTACTGTGACCCTTTTAAGGAATTCACTGAAAACAGTGTTTGCTCTGTGGCTTCTCTCATCCCTATTTGGCAGGCAATTGCCTTCTCCAGGTGAAACTATAAACAAAGATGTAGAAGAAGCACAGTGGGGTCTTAACTGGTCTTTTATATACATCACAAACTATTTAGGATGGGAAACTATGTACCCTGTCCCTTGACATGTACAGATTAGTTCTCCACTGCCTGATTCTCCTGAATAATGAATGAATGGGAATCATGAAGTTGAAACTCAGTGGAGATTTGCACAGCTACAGATCTATCTGCATGCAGAGGATGCCTGACCTCTGACATCCTAAAAAGTATTTATTAGTATTGGGGCTGGAATGAGAAGTGACAAAGGGAAAGGAAGTTATCATCACAGGTAGAAAACACAAGGTTTGAAAGTCATGGCTTAGACCCATACCATGAAAATTTAAGAACAATGACATTCCACAGAAAACTAGAAAAAGAAAAGCAAGTTATTAATCTTACTAATATTTCCCTTGAGTGGGAGAGTGCTTAGCAAGGCCTTGGGGTCAAGTTTCACGACTGTATAAACAAAATAACAACAGCAAATGTGTTGTCTCTTCATCTTGGATGTAGGCTCCAAGAGTAAAGGACTCGGTGAGACAGACTGTACCTTCCGCTCAGTTGTATTCTGTCGGCAAGCTTGGAAAGCTGATCTGGGAGTCGTCGCTGTTTGATAACTCCCTCAGGTGTGACAGAGACCTCACACAGAGAATACTGGTCTGGGGTGGCAGTGACGGCAAACTCTCTGATGGCCTGGATGACCACTTCCTTTGCTGTGGTGTCCTTACTGATCATGATGTACCGGCTCTGCTGGTCAGCCTTGAAAACTCTGAGCACCTGATCTGGCAAGTCTGGGGCAGGAAAAGCCACACAGAGGTAGAAGCAGTGTTAGCAGGTGGCAACACAATTAAAGTAACACATTCTACCCCTTAAAGGATGATGACTTCTCCCTCCTGGACAGAGTTGTGACATGCTGACCACAAAACCATATCTTCCCCAACAGATGCTACATAGCTAACAGACTAATATAAACACAGGAGCAAAACACAAGATGTCTTGTGAGCATCAAACAAAAATTTACACCTGAAGTTCATCTTTATTATGTAAGCTCATGAAGCTTACTTAAACATGGCTCCCAATTTATTTACTTGGTATAACTTAGTAATAACTGCATAGAATGTTATTCATTTTATCAAATACAAAACCGGTTCAGCCACACCAAAATGATTTTCAGAATACAAGAACTGGTTCCAATGTTCGGAGTTTGAAATTCATTCTGGATCTTGGTGAATGATACTATCCAGCCAAGCCAAACATGCACACTGTGTCACTACTGCATTTGAAAGAGAGGTCACTGAGAAAGCAGGATGACTCTGGTGCTCACCTGGTGTCGTGCTGAAGTCCAGAATCCGGTGGTGTGACTGTAGCAAGTCAGGGTTACTCGAAGAGAGTGTTCCACTAACAGGCAGGGCAGCTGGGATGTGTTTGGTCTGCCTCAGGCCCACGATGCTATCATCTTGAGACTGACCAATCCCAATATCACTGAGAAGAGTGAATTTTAAAACACAAATTACTAGCAAGGTAAAGTCTTTACAGATTATGAAATAAGGCATTTTCATTTAAACTTGCAATTAATGTAAAAATGTGGAAAATGATTGAAATCTGGAATGGCCAGAATGGCAAAACATACTCAGCCCTATTCACTATCTCTAAACATATAGTAGGTTTCGTTAAAACCTGTCTTTTTAATGAGTCATAACCAGTATTTTTTTTTTTTTCTCAAAGACCAAGCACAGGGGATAGAACCCATTCGAGTTCACTGCACCAAGAGCTCAGCAACAACAAAGACAAGATGGTTTATGATCTGATCTTCAAGATGAAGGAAATGAGGAAACCTCAAACTGTGCTACTTATTCTTCAATTGTTCTAGGTAGAAAAGCAAAATCTCCACGGAGTCCAAGTGTGAGGAAACCCTGACACAGACCTCATCTCTTAATGACAGAGCATGAGCATGCAATGGGCAGGGACACACTTCCTGGCTTTGGAGGACAGGCAGTCAAATGCAGCAACTCACTTCTAATTCTCTGCTCAAAGTTTTCAATTACACGTTTAAATTCTCCAGAAAAACATGAGTATTACTCATGGCAACAGACTCCTTCATATTTACAAAGAGACAGTTCTGTGGTCACTTGTATGTTCGTGCAGCATCTTTCACCATTGCTGGGAAGGGCTGTGGTACTACAGCCTCCTGCTCATGCCTCTTGAGCTGGGATTACAAGTGTGTACCACCACACCTCATGTGGGTAATGCTTCAAACATGACTTATCAATGTATAAAATTATTTCTTGATTGAAAGATCAATTGTTTCCAAAAGAAACCATACTAGAAAACAAGTATACAACAGAAGAATAACTAGATCGTATGCAAATGTCTATAGTTATAATTGCACAAACACCTTCAAACAAAAAAGAGAATTCTACTAAAACTGGGATATAAATTAAGGTATCATAAATAAGAAACTTGTCCTTCACATATAGGCAAGCCCAGGACAGAAATCAAAGCTCTGTCTAAGCATGCACAATTGGACATATAAAGCCCTGAAATATTAATGTTCTATGCATGATGAAAGTCTTTACATTGGCGGAAATTTATTTTTCAATCACATAAATGTCCTTGTCAAAAAAAAATGAGATGACATATGACATAACACAATTACTGTGGAAACAACAAAGGTCTTTCTGACCAGGTCAGTCATGGTAGAAATGGCTGTGACCATCATTACACACCAGGCACACCCTTTAAAAATGTTTCTCACCACATTTTCCAACACCTCGTGTAATAAACTGCTGACACTCATCTTGCTTCTTGCTTCTTGATGCCTCACCTATACACCTTAATACTCACAGACACAGGTTATTTTTGTACCTAAATTGTGCATTTTTTATGCAAAATCTAACTGAGAAACATCCCTCTTGGGCACATCCTCTTGTCTAGCCTCTCCAACTGGCTCACTGTTATTGAAACAAGTAAAATCTGCTGATTTTAGGGCCTATTGACTATTCCTTTCTTCCTCTGGGTTCACGCACAACTTACTTGGCAGCCCAGTTTGAATTCTATTACAAGAGTGACCTGCTTCTTGCTCTATGCACATCATATATGCCACCATGATACACAATAATTCATGCCCACCCTTGTCAATCTGCCAGTCTCAAGTACCTTAGCTTCTGTAATACAAGTAACACTTAAGGGGCTGGGGAGAGGAACAAGTATATTATTACTAGGAGATTTCACTAATCTACTAGGTTATCACTTTGCTAAACACACTAACAAAGGTGGGCACCTGGCTCAGTGGTGGAGTGTTTAACATGCTCACGGCCCTAGGTTTTTTCCTCAGAACTTCATAAATTCGTGCTGGTGTCCAGACAATTTGAAGCTGTAGTCAGCACTAAGTCAAGGTGATTATATTACGGCAGACCCTACAGCTTCCTGAGCCTGTGTTTAAATATTACTTTCTCTTCAGCATTGATTTCTCAAACTGTTTTCATAAGAAAATACCCAATTGAGCCACATATTTGCCACAATATTTCTCTAGTATTTTAAAATCAACATAGCTAATCGCTGTCTTTTAAATCTTCCCTTGTCTAGTTTTTGAGCATCTCTGTAAGCTTACACAGCCACAACTACATACACGAAACCTCATACTGCTCTCCTAGCCAACATGCTGAGCCATGGATGGATTATAGTCCAGTTCTTCTGTGTTCCATTTCCAGTAATACTTACCAGGGCCACAGTGATTTCTGACTTGCTTGTAGAGATTTGACTTTAAACCCTATGAACCTTTTATTATTATTTTGCTAATAACTCTGCATTGAGGTGACTTCAACTTTTCCACACATTTAAAATTGAGTTTTCATCAAGGGTCTTTTAAAAAATCCATTCCTAATTTTTGTAAATGTTACTGTCCCAATCCACATTCTCAAGCCCATATTTATAGACCATCCTACAATTATGCTTATCTTTAGGACCCATAGAATTTAGAAACCACCAATCATTACTCATAGTTTAATGTGGATAATGTAAATTTGACAATTCATCAATGACATTTTAAATCATATGTCTCTAGTCTGTGACTAAAAGTTTTGTAATTAAGAAGAAAATAAGGAAGAAAAGAAAGACATTATGTGGTTTCCATGTGTGTAAACATGTAACATGTGGAGGGGTGTGAACATGGATACCAGAGGATGGTGCCCACTGGTCTTTTATCACTTTCCATCTTACTCCTTTCAGGAAGGGTCTCTTCCTGAACCTGGAACTCACTCTCACTCCCCAGGCTGTCATCTGGCAAGCCCTAGTAATCCACTATTGTCTGCCCTCCACAATACTGAGGTTACAGGCATGAGATCACACCTAGTTAGTATTGGAATCTGAACTTCATGATTGTGGGTAGACACTCTGACCACTGAGAACCCTCTCTTTTAGCCTTTGAATGCTTCTATTTATTGCTTCTCTTTAGACCCACTAAATTACCCAAAAAATAAAACCAGTATCTTTTAGAATGCGTTCCCAACCTTATCCCTGAGGCTCGGGTCATTGAACCACTCCAGTAACTTCTTTCCCACTTCCATTGGGCTGGACAGGAAAGTCCGGTATGTCAACAGGAAGTCTTCTATGAAAGTTGGATCCACGACAGAATGTTCTTCCACCAAATGCATGGTCAGCCTCTCTGAGGTACCCTGCAACAAATGCAAGTCTAGTCACCAATATGAATGGATCATTGATATGACACCCTAATTTCAAACCTTCCACATAAAACAAGACAGGTAGCAAGACACATTACTAATAGGCTGCCATTCATTAACCAGTAACTAGCAATGGGTTTTATGCTTGTGGGCAAAGGAAGCAGAGAGGGGAACTAATGAGAATGAAGTTTAATGGCCCATATGTGTGTAAATGCCACAATGAAACCCACTAGTTTGTATAATAACACACACACAAAATCAGAAGGACAAGGAAATAAAAAAAAAAATGAAGAAAAAAGTCACGAGAAACTAATCAGCAATGTTTTCTCCTCTTGGAAGGAATGCCCCTTTATCCTACCTACCTTGATGACGATGTGGCCCTTCCTCGTTCCAGTCCGATCTAGTTCTCGGTGCTCCTTCACCATTACAATCTCTCCTTCTTCCTCAACTTTTTGCATGTTCTTTTCTACTTGGTTCAAAATACAGCAGTAATCTTGCTGGGCAATGCAGACAAACTAGAATAAAATGTTAAGTCACATGTTAATGATAAAGTGCTTGCAAAAGAACTACCTGCCTAATAATTCAGTTTTAATTATTTAATACTGACATTTCCCCCTGTCTTTCTCCTACTTTCTAAATCAATGCAGGGATGAACCTTAATCAGACTTCTCTACTTTTAATGCATTTCCTCCTTGGTTCATTTTTTTAAGTTTATATTTTATTTAAAAAAAAATCTAACAATCTAAAAGCTCAAAAGCCCTCTTCCATTTTAGTTGGAAAATATGGGTAGAGAGGAAGACTATCCTAGGACAAATATAAAACAATTACCACATGGCTTTATACATTATGGAAATGTTAAGAGTATTAAAATGGTGGTTTTAATTAGAGATGAAGACATTCAAATGTCTGTATATTAGAGTAAATATGTAACTGTGCTAACTGCATACATGGACACACACAATTTTAGTAACTACCCCGCTTTAAAGAAAGTCAGAGATGAAGCCATGTATTTACTATATTTCAGATTGTTATTTGTAACTTGTCTCCTGGATGATTCTTGCTCTTAAGAGAAAAAGTTAACAGCAAGATGTAATCAAGTAGTTATTACTCATGGTAATAACTCCATGGCTTGTGCACCTGCAGAGGTCAGGGGTTATGCGTGTGTATGCCCTGTGCTGTGGAAGCCACAGGAGGACATGTGTAATCCTCTATCACCCTTCATCTTATTTCATTGAGACAAGGTCTCTCAATGAACCTGGAGCTTGCAGTTTTTCTGCTAGGCAAACAGCCAGCAAGTCTCAGAGATTCTCCTCTTTCCAAATCACTCCAATGTTGGGGTTACAGGAACACATAGCCACACACAACTTTTTACATGGGTGATGGGATGACAAACTCATGGAAAGTGCTCTTCCACAATGAGCCAATGCCCTAGCCCCTGTACTTACTTACTTTTTAAATTTTTTTTTGAGACAGGATCTCACTGAATAGAGCATGCTGGTTTCAAACTTCTGATTATCTTACCTCAGCATCTCAAGTGTTGAAATTAAAGACATACTTGGCTCAATTAAGAGTTTATTTTAATGCTAAAGATAAATTATAGAAATCACTTACTACATAAAATAACCAAAGGCTTGTGTGGAGACAGAAGCAGATTTTTCCAGCAAATAAAAACCTTTTTCCTTAAAGCTTCAGTAATTTACTCTAGTTTATATAGGGGATACCTGAAATTTCTGTTTCTCTTTTAATATGATAAAGATGAAAAACTGATCATTAAATTTAAATGTATACCAGATAAAGTATTCAATTATTGGAAATTATATTTTAAAGTTGTGCTTCTAAGAAGAAGTGAAGAAATGTCTATTTATCCCAGATAGGGCAACAACAACAGACCAAACTAAGTAATCCACTCAAGTCTAGTTTAATAAAATACTGAGTATAATTTGGATAACTCAGGGAAGTATGAATGGAAGGATGAGTAACTTACCAGCTACTACACTACTGGAGAGAATGTTTTGTTTCCATAGCAACCGTTACTTGCTTATGGATCTTCAAGAAGGGGCAGTGCCTTATGAGCCACTCCCAACCTGCTGTCTAACACTGATGGACCCAGTCTTGAGTAGGACTTCTGCAAGTAATTCTAGCTGACTAGAGAGTCCAAGAGGACACTAACTTGGCAATGCTTAGAGGACAGTGTCCAAAAATGGGACAGTGTTCTGGGTTAATATTCATGACTCTTCATTAATTTTTAAATTGTAATACTAAATATTGCACTAATAACCCTAATGTCAACATCCATGTCACATCATGATCACGACACAATAATCTTACAAATTTCAACAGTTTATTATCCTAATCATGCATACTTCCCCACCCCAAAGGAGAGGGCAAATAGCTCACTGTCTTATGTATATACATATATATTAAAATCTTGGAGAAAAATAGGATAAGATGTAAACAATTATATTTCTGAACAATGCAAATTATTGATGATGTTAATTTTCTTAACACAGTGTCTGTGTTTCACTGTGTTCTATAGTCATTGTTCAGCTAGAGAAGCAGATAATGTAAGGAGGTTGAAATGTCTCCTATATCAGCTCACTAATTTTTCTATGAAGCATTTAGAAACAGGTTAAAAATTCAAAAGCCAAAAACAACAACAAAAAATTCAAAAACCATAGGAAATATTAACAGTTCAGCTAGATTGTAAAAAACAAAGAAAAAATAAACCCTAATTTCTACACTGCTGACCACAGTAGGTGTGTGTATGATTTTGAAGTAGATAATTCATCCCCTCGTAAAGGTATTTTAATTTCTTTTTAAAATACAGTAAAAATGTTTCCTGAACTTCTACAGAGGATTAAGAAAGGTTTTGTCTTCAAATAATCTTACATGGTCATTTTTTAGTTTGGAAAAACATAATTAAATAATTTGTCCCATTTATGTTCTAAAAATACATTTCTAAGTTAAAATAAGTACATGTATGAAGGAAAATGCTTTTTGAAGATATATAATCTTCACTAAAGATTACAGGAAATTAGAGTAAGTCTGATTTGAAATTCTTAGTATATAGACATACATTTGGAATTTCTTTAGTAGCAAATTAAAATAAGATCCACAAGGAGGGCAAAATATATTGAACTGAATTTCTAATATGCACATATAGAACTTGTTTCTAAAAAGAATGGATTCAGTTGAAAGCATTTCTTCTTTTTTCTTAGTTATTCAGTTTTACATTAAGAAATTATAGATCTAGCCCTGCTCATTATCAACTGACAGCAGCACACTCTGGAGGCTCCAGCCCCACTGGTTACCAAGGTAAGGACTACATACCAGGGTAGGGGCTGAGGGGATCAAAGGGGAGGAAACCAACCTTGGACTTTATCCAGGCGAGCATGGTGCACCTCGGAGGCTCTAGTTCCACCTGCTGTTTTGGTGAGTCTTGAAGAGCCAGCAGGCACTAGCCCTACTTGTTGTTCTGTTAATGACAACAAACTAGTACCTACTGAACATGTAAATACTCGCTTTGATAGACTAAGCTGAGATAATTAATAAACAAATTCAACCTGTGAACCAGGTCAACTCAAACCACAAGAAATGGAAAAGTCAAGCAACCTGACTCCTCCAAAAACTGTTAATCCTACAGTAACAGCCCGTAGTGAACACAAAAAGATGAAACCCTAGCAATAGAACTTAGAATTTTAAGCTCAAAGACCTCACAGAAGCAAACAAATTCTTAAAAAGAACTCAAGAACATAGAATTATAGGTCAACCTGCAAAATGAAAGAGGAATCCAGTAAGGAGATAGAAATACTAAGGAAAATCGAAGCTACTAAAAATGAGAAAGTGAAAAACACAAGTCAAATACCAAAACTCTGTATAAGGCCTACCAACAACTAGACTTGACAAAGTGGAAGCACAAGGACAACGACAAAAACACATTTGAGCTGAATTTTCAAGGTATCTGGGACACCATGAAAAAAAATCAAATTAACAGTCATAGGTATAAAGGAAGGTGATGAATTCCTTTTTAAAACCATAGGAAACATTTTTCCTAACTTAGACAAAGAACTGTTTTCCCCAGATACAAAAAGTATTTAGAACACCAGTCAAGAGCAATAAATAAATAAACCTTCCCCTAACCATGTTATTATTAACTCACCAACTATTCAGAACAAATATATAAATGTAGACATAGATACATAGCAGTAAAAAGGAAACTATTGCACACAGAAAGCCAGGCCCATCAGTTTCTCAACAGAAACTTTAAAAGCCAACTGTCAATCTAGGTTACTCTACCCACCAAAGCTATCAGTGCCAACTGGAGGAGAAAGGAAAACTTAACAATGATAAAAACAGGCTTTAATGAGTTCATGGCCACTTAGCTAGCTCTACAAAAGACAGTTAAGGAATTCTTCAGAAGAATGAAAAGAAAGACAAACACATCCTTGGGACCTGAGAGGAGAATGAAGCACCCCAGTAATGTTTAGACAAGAGAAGAATAGGAAAACACTGTATGCTAAACAATCAACAAAATGATAGGACATAACACACATGTTTCAGTAACTCTAAATACTATGTGTCTTAATTTCTCATACCAAAGACACAGACTAGCATCATGGATTCAAAGGTAGGGCTCATCTATTTGTTGTTTCCAAGAAACTCACCACATCATAAAAGATGGGAATGATTTTAAATGGGGAAAAACATAGAAAAATTAATTCAAACAGATGGAACTAGAAAACAAGTAAGAGCTGCTATTTTCATATCTGACAAAATAGACTTTAAAACACAACTAGTTAGAAGAGATAAAGGTCACCTTAACCGGTTAACAGAGCAATCCATTAAGAGGATATTATGATTTTAAACATAAACTCACAGTGCCTTGTACACCTAATTTCACAAAACAAATATTACTTGCAGTAAAAAGTTACAGATTAGCTCCAATGAAAAAAAGAGGCATATCTTTAATACAACAGTATCATCAATTGACAAATCATCCAGGCACAAAATAAGCAAACGTCTGAGTTAAATGACATCATGGATCAAGGGACCTAACAGACATAGGACTTTCCATGCAGCACTACAGAATACACACTCTTCTCAGCATGCCCAGAAAATGCTCTAAAACAGAACATACACTGCAGGACAAAGTGAGTCTTAGCAAACAGGAAAAGTGAAATTACTGCATGTGTTCTATCTGATCTCAATGGAATAAAGCTAGGAGTCAGAAATGCAAGAAACTCCAGAACATTCACAATGTCGTGAAAACAAAATAACACACTATTCAACGATACACGGGTGACCAAAGAAACCAAGAAGGAATAAAAAAGTCCTAAAAAGTGAACAAAAAAAAAAGGAAAACACAACCCAAGCCTATGGGATACAGCAAAAGCAGTTCTAAGAGGGAGGTTTATACCTTTAACTGTCTTCATTAAGAAATGAGACCAAAATAAATAATTTACTGACACACCACAGAGCTTTGGACAAACAGTAACAGGCCAAACACAAAACCAGTAGATGGAAAGAAATACTTAAGATCTAGGAAGAAATTAACAAAATAGAAGTAAGCAAAAACAAAACTAAAAAGCAACAATACAGATTTGGTTCTTTGAAAAGAAACAAGACAAACCTTTAGACACAGAAGACCTAATTAATAAAATTAGAGATCAAAGAGCTATTAGGGCAGATACAAGGTAATTTAGAAAATAAACCTTATACCTTGAAAACATAGTTTCCACTAAAGCAGGAAAAAATCTAAAAAGAAATTAATTTTTAGATGTGTAAGACAATATGAAAATTAAGCCAAAATGAGATGAGTAATTTAAACAGATCTATAACAAATGGGATTGATGTAGTAGTAAATAAAACAAAAACCCACCTGACTAAGAAAAGGTCCAGGCACAGATGAATTCATTATTGAATTCTACCAGATTTCAAGGAAGAAGTAACACTTACACTACTCAAACTAGTTCACAGAACATGAAAGAAGGGGACTCTATCAAACTTTTACCCAGATACCAAACCCAGACAGAGAGACCAAAAAATTCTCAAGAGAACACTTAGAAAACAAATTCAAGAACACAGCAAAAAAAGATCATTCATTCTGTTCTTGTCAGGATTATTGTAAAGATCCATGGATGGTCCAATATAATACACATATCAATAAGTGTTACAAATTACATAAAAGAACTCAAGGACTCCAATGGTTATCTTGATAGAACAGCCTCTTGACAAAATTCTTCAGTTAAGAAGGGTTACTCTGGGCTTTCTTTAGGGGGTGGGTCTTCCTGGTCTTTTGCTTGTATATTAAGGTTTCTGTTTTTAGGAGTTTTGAATTTGTGTGTGTGTGTGACTTGTATCCCCTCGCCTTTTTTTAAAAATATTCTGGCTTGCTGACTGTTTTCTAAAGAGAGAGAAAGATAGGGAATAGAGTTGACAGCATAAGGAGGTTGGGAAGATGTGGGAAATTGGAGAAGGGGAAACCGTGATCAGAATATATTTTATGAAAAAATCCATTTTCAATAAAAATACATTTTTTAAAAAGCTAAGAATAGAAGCAACAAATCTTAACATAATAAAAGTTTTATGACAAACCTACAGTCAAAATTATATTCAATGTCAGAAAGCCAAGCATCTCCACTAAAATCACAAACAAAGACAATGGTGCCTGCTTTCTTTGATCATTTAACATATAGTACTGGAAGTCTTAACTAAAGCAGTAAGACAAGAAAAGCAAATCAAAGGGATACAAACAGCAAAGGAAGAAGTATCTATCTGCAATGATACAATTTTAAATACAATGATACATTAAAAGCCCTAAAGATTTTACTAGAAAACCCACTGAAATTAATAAACACTCTCAGTAAAATGGTTGGATACAAAATGAATACACAGAAATGATAGGCCTTCCTTCCTACACCAATGACAAACTAACTGAAAAGGAAACCAGAGAAATAATCCCATTCACAGGCCAAACAAACAAACAAACAAACAAAATCTCCCAAAACACCAACAAATACCTGCCCCCATACACACACCAGAAAAGGGGGCAACTTTTAAACCTAACCAACAATTATAAAAGATCTCTCTAATGAAAACTTTAAAACACCAAAGAAATAAGTTGAAGACACTGAAGATGAAAAGACCTATGCTCTTGGATTGAAGAATCCATGATGTGACAACAGGCACCTTACCAAAGGTTCAATGCAACTGTAATCAAAATTCCAAGGATGTTCTTCACAGAAATAGAAAACAGTCTTTAATATGGAAGCAAAAGAGGTTAAAAAAAAAAAGCCAAAGCACTCCTGAGTAATGCTGGAGGTATGCCTGGCTTCAAGTTGTTTTATTTTTGTTTTTGTTTTGTTTGTTAACTAAGAATCAAATCTCTGCTGTCATGCATCTCGTACCTGGCAGTCATCCACCTTGGTCCTCATCACTCCTTTCATGTACTCTTTGTCCATGGTAGGTGACACACCAAAACTGTTTCCCATGCACAGTATTTCTGCTTTCCCATCTGGGTATGTTACTTCCACGGAACCGTTGAGAATCACTGACCAGGAATCCAGCTAAGCAAAATAAGTAAGACAAAGCAGAAGACAACACTGTCATCACCTGGCTTAAATGCTAGAACAGTTCCAAACTAGCCTCCTGGGTCTTCTATCTTTAAGACGGAACAAACTACCTGAAAAATCTTAACTGTTTACCAAGCAAGCAGTAAGAGATAGCAAAACATCTGCAAACTTTTTATGCCCACCACACAGTAAAATCATTTAAAATTTAAATAAAAAATAAAATCATTTAAAATGACACAGGAAACAATTTTCCTCTATATATCAAAAAAATGTAAAGAAGATAAAATGTTCAACACAGCCTCAATAAAACATTTTGTTCCGATGAGAGGCAGATATACTATGCTGGATAGTGCAAAAACTAAAAAGCTAATACATCACAAAACCTTGGGGATGGTAGTCGATCTGAATGGTGAAGCACCTGTCTAGCATGTGAAGGGCCATTTGGTCCTCAGCATCAACACAAAACCATAATGTCTATTAACACTTCATGAAATGATGGAACAAGGGAAAAAAGAAGAATGGATTTTGAATGCTAAGAATAAATGAGTGGCCATTAGTTTCCATTCAAACTTATTACTGCTGAGGTTTTAGAGGGGAAAACAAGGAAAACAAGAATATGGTTTTATCTGTGGACCATTGATCCTTGAGCTTTCTAAGTGGTCAAAACACCTGCTGACCTCTTCTCCATCATTTAACACAATGGTTCCAGCTCTTTCCACCACTGCGAACACCATCACAGCACAGAGCTCCCGTCTCACTGACATCGTCATGTTGGCGAAAGCAGGCAGCTGGTGCATAAATTCAAGCAGTTGTTCTGAAAAGCAAAACCATCATTTTTGTTAAAAACAAGTCAAGGAAAAAAATACCCCAGAGTGAAGGTCATCATTCCCCTGGGCCCATGTTTCTGCCTCCTTATATGGGGGTTACCTCTGAATAGAAACTCCCCCTTCAGGAGAGAGTGGGAGCATGGAGCCCCAGCAGGTAAACACACTTTACATGTCTAGGATATCTAAACTAGCTTCACCAAGATCCCTCTCCAGGGATGAGGATGCTGGGGGAGGTGACTGGCACCAATCTGGGGGAAGGAGAGTCTCGGCTCTTCCCAGCTTCCTGTAGGTTATGCAGAGAGCTCTGGGGTTGCAGCTTGCACTAGTCGTCACCTACATTAGGGTGGGTTTTTCAGCAATTCAGCTGAGTATCTATACTCCTGGATGTCATCCATGCTCTAAAAGTAACCCTTTACCAGTATTTTTCTGTTCCTAAGCCCAATGGAAACTCATTGGTTCATCAAGTTAGATTTTGGTGCAAGTATTACTGGTTTATCTCAGGCTCTCTATCTGGGGTAAAAGTCAGTCACACAATTCTCTGTCGCCCAGCCCCTGCTCCATTTTCCTCCCAGAGCTCACGCAATCTGCATATCTCCCCTGCCCCATGGACGGACACTGTGGCTTCCCTGAGCTGCTGCAGAGCGGGGGTCTCATCTCCCTTCTTCACCCTGAGCTGTCAAGAACTAGAAGGCGCCCTGCCATATGAGCTAAATGAATGAATGATTACCAGCACATGCTTTTCATCTCTAAATGGTTTGCAGTTCCTGTAAATGACTGTAATTAGACACATGTAAATCTGAGGGGCTGGTTTTCCATTTTCCACCATATGTATACAGCTTGAACTGCCACAGTTTTTCCAAAAGTATGTCTGCCTAATTGAAACATAGGCAACGAGTTCCTCACACCTCCCAGTATCTAATCTCACTGACTTGAATTCATTGAATTCTGCAAATATGCACTGTGTTAGAGAATTAGTGAAGTGGCATGTATCACCTGGGATTGGCCAGGGGTAGTTACAGATTCTAGAATTCTGGTGGGAAATGACTCTAGGCATCACCTAGTATTTTAAGGGAAAGAGCCAGAGTTGGATGTGTTTCAAATGCAAAGCTGTTATTAAGCAAACAAGTCCTGCTCCTATGGAAAGGGAGACATAAAGCCCACTAATGTTCAAACTTCAAGGTGCACTTAAAGGCTCAACCAGCACATATTTGTCTTAGTTAGGTTTCTCTTGCTGCAACAAAACACCCTGACCAGAAACAACCTGGGGAAGAAAGTGTGTATTTCTTACAACTCTTAGGTCACATGTCATCACTGAGGAGAGTTGGGGCAGGAATACAAGGCAGGACAGATACCTCGAGACAGGAACTAAAGCAGAGGCCATGGAGAAACAATGCTTACTAGGCTGTTTGCTCTCAATATGCCTATCTTCCAAGTTCCGCCAGAATAGCCCACTGAACTCTGAGAACTCAATGGTTTTCCCAGCCTAAAATTCAAAGGCTACACTTCTTCCAAAGTCATGTGGTCAGATCTGGCACAGTAATACCCCACTTGTGGTGCAAATCTGTCTTTGGTTGTCTATTACAGTGATGATAACACCATGACTACATGCAAAGGAATGGGTGTATTTCATCTTACATCCCAGACAGCAGTCTACCACTGAGGAAATCAGGGCAGGACAGGAACCTGGAGGCAGGAACTGAAGAGAAGCCATAGAGGAATGCTGCTCATTGGCTTGCTCCCCAAGGCTTACTCAGCCTTTATTTTTATCCAACCCTGGACCACCAGCCCAGAGGTGGCACTATCTGCAGTGGGCTGGGCTCTCCTATATCAATCATCAATGAATAAAATGCCCCACAGATTTGTCTACAGGCCAATCTTACAGAATGGATTTTCTTAGTTATGATTTTTCTTCCCAGGTATGTCCAGGTTGTGTCAAGTGAACAAAAAACCAAGTAGTACATTATCTACAACATCTATACTTGGAAGGCTGAGGCAGGAGGACAGTGTGTTTGATGTCAGTGTGGACCATGTAAGAAGACCTGGCCTAACACAAAACAAGCAAGTAAACAAATCCCACTGAATAATAATAACTAATAATAATAATAATAATAACAATAATAATAGTAAAAGAAGAAAATCTGAACTCCACAACCTGTGGGTTTTGAACTAACTCATTTTGCTATTTTCTTCCACCTAATTGCATTCTCATACATGACCACTTTGTCAACTAGCATTTAACTAATGTTTAATCCCAGAACAATGCCGCAAGAAGATTATTGAAAGTAATACTGTGTTAAGACTTCTTTTAACTTACTTGGGAGGGGTCAGAAATGAAGCTAAGATAAACATTATATAGATGGGCTTATTAGAACATTCATTCACAGTACTATTTGTAGATACTGGCCAAATAAAACTTTTCAACAAATATTTCTTTTTTAATGCCAAGGAAGAGCTTTTGTGACCACTACTGATACTAAGGGAATTCATAGATGCCAGGCTTCAAAAAGCCTTCCAGAATTGTGATGTATTATACCAGTGTTTACATCTCATTAGAGCTACCTGCTTAAATGACCCATTTCTCAAGCACTCACCAATATCATCATCAGTCCTATCTATTGGGTCCTTCTCCAGGCAGTCCCTCACAATGTCCCTGCTCATCAGAGGGTCGGATGCCCTCTCGATGTCTTCCTCATCATCATCATCCTCAGAATCAACTGCCGTCTCTGGCAGTCCACTCAGGTCCATGTCACCAGCCTCACTCTCCGTGGCCTTAAAGCAGATGCAAAAATAGATTTTAAAGACTATTTTAAGTAAATCAGTCATGGGGCATCCAACAGGTAAGAACAATTACAGCTCACAATAATTCATGGTATTGATTTTTCTATAGTTGGGAGTCAGCATCCAACAAGTAGCTGTGCACAACAAAAGAGAAGTCTTGAAAGACTAAAATTATGAACTAAATTTTTACCTCAGAAATTAGGATTTATTATAAGAACTGTATAGAAAAACATGAAGTTAAAAAAAATAGTATTTGTTCCAAAAGGGATGGCTTACACTGAGTTTAACAATTTGTATTTTGAGTGATCCCTCTTCCAGGAAAACTGCCTAGAAGATGAGCAGAACTATTTTCCCCCTGTTGGTCTTCTTGGGAGAATGATCAATAAACTGAATGTAGCTTGATAATCATGTACACCAAACATTACAATTATCTGGATTATTCCAATGGCCACTTGAACTTTAAACCCCTAAACAGGGCAGAAGGCTAAACATATATGCAGTTGGTTTTTTTTTGGGGGGGTTGCTCCCCAGCTCCCCCCCAAAAAAACACAGAAATTATTCTTACTTAAGAATGCCAGGCTTTAGTTTAGCTTGTTTCTAGCCAGTTTTTCTAACTTAAATTATCCCATTTTTCTTTAACTATGTTTGCCTCTGGGCTTTTTACCATTTTTTATTCTACATATCTTTCTTTCCTTCTTACTTGGTGGCTGCCTGTGTGGCTGGGTGGCTGGCCCCTGGCATTCTCCTCTCCTTCTCCTTTCCTTGCTTCTTCTAGATATCTCCTCTGATTTGTTCTCTCTGCCCTAAAGCCCTGCCTGTTTCTCTCTTCTACCTAGCTACTGGCCATTCAGCTCTTTATTAGACCAATCAGGTGTTTTCTCTGCCCTAAAGCCCTGCCTGTTTCTCTCTTCTACCTAGCTACTGGCCCATTCAGCTCTTTATTAGACCAATCAGGTGTTATAAGCAGGCAAAGTAACACGGCTTTACAGAGTTAAACAAATGCAACTTAGGGAATGCAATGCATCTTTGAATCATTAAACAAATATTCCATGGCATATATTAATGTAACACATCTTAAACTAATATTTCACAACACATATACACATAATAGCATAGACTCTTCTATTCCATTAGCATGTAGCTAAATTATCAACTTGACTGCAAGTTAGAAACACTGAATATTTTTTTTAGTTACAAGAATCACTCATTTCCAGATGGTTTTTAGCCTAATCTGAAGAATAGAAACTGTCATCCTTCAGGTCAATCTAGTCTTTAATAATTTCTGACCCAGTGTATCCATCAAATTGGTCTTATTTGACATTAGAGACATGGAATTCAGCAACTGCTTCTGCATGCTGAGAATGAATTTAAATCTGTTCTGCCACTGAGCTACAACTCCAGTCCTGTAGCACTTCCTATATAACGTCTCGGTTCAGGCCAGGGAACATGAGACCTAATCTTGCATCTTGAAACAATCCACAACCATCTATTATGATTTCTCTAGAGCAGCCGTTTTAATCTCATTTCTAGTTTGGGATATAGATTCTGAACTAAAGTTAAGTACATTGTAGGAAAATATATCAAGCAAATAACCAAAAACAGAGAATCTAGTATCTGCAAACCTCCCTAAAGGTCTTGATACTTCCAACCATTGTAAGAAAAATTGCTTCAGGCAGAAAAGTCTACCTGTCCCCCAGGAAGAGAATTCATTCCGTGACACTCAAAACTACAATGTGAAGTTGTAATTCACCATGGGGAAACAGAAGAGCTGGGGATGCTGCTGCACACCAAGGGGATGGTCACAGAAGACAAGCCAACCAGCATAACTACCACCCCAACCCTCAGAAACCAGACTCAGACAATCTGCTAGTCCTTGTGATTATGCTTCCTCCCCAGCTGCCTCTTCCCACCGAAGATTACTTAAGACCCATCTCCATGTGAACTCAATGACCCTCCAGGACTTTCTAGACAGCATCTTTAGAACCAGCACTTTGTGAAGGGACACTACAAAAAAGAAATGGAAACAAACAAAAAGCCTTTCTTATAAATGATGATTTATGTGACTAATGGTTATGTGTTAATGTAAAAACATAAAACATGTCAAACTATTAAATATATTCTATACTGAAGAAATCATTATCACTTAAATGAAATACATTTACATTTTTGCTGTTTTGGCCCACTCCCCCTGCAGGTTCTGGGATGTGCCCAGTAAGCTAGCTGAGTATCTACTGCTGAACTACATCCTCAATCCTTCCTCATCTTTCTTTCTAAGTCTGGTCATTTCTTTATTACTCAAACTTCTGGCTGGACCCAGACTTAGAAGCTCTCAGCAAGGACAGCAGGATCTCTTGGCAATCGGTTCCTTTAGTGTTTCTTGGGTTCCTTCATTCTCCTTTCAAATTTATTCTGCAGCCTCCTTATTTTTCTTACTGCATTGTTTCTTCACATCAATATGTCACTATTTGTGTGCAGGACACGTGAAGCAACAAGATGCTGAATCTTGGGTGTTCCAGTCCTGAACATCTTATATTCTTTAAGGGATTTCTGACAACACAGTAGAGGACACCTTCTTTATAGAGACTAAAAAGCTTTTGGATTCTGCTGACTCTTTTGGGACCCACTGCCAAGGCACAGTAGTATCTGTCAGTCCAGAAATAATCTTTTTTTTTTTTAATTAAACAATAACCAAGTTGTGAACTTTCAGATTGGAATCCACAATGACCCTGAACAGACTTTCTCTCTTCAGTTCTCTACAAAAAGACTGTCCCTTACTCAATAGCACGTCCACTCAGCCACCGGTAGGAAACAGCTTGCTTCGTGGTCAAACCTTGTTTCTTGTCCCCAACACTAATTCAGACCACATAATCCTTCCACTCTTCATCTAGAGCATCAGCTGCTACTTCTGGGGCCTGCTGTGGTCATGCACATCTTATAGAAAGTATGAAGTTTGTGTGCGTTATCATCCACTTTAAGCTTCTGACAGGGAAGGAGAAATTCAGCTTCATCTTGAAAAAGCTGATCTCAAAAAAGAGCCTTTTTCAGTCATCTATCAAAGATGGAGACCCCTGAGTGGATCTCTCTCTCCAGCATGAAGCTTCCAGCTCACCTAGCAGTGGTTCACTATGTCCACATGGGATCCATTCTTAAAGAAATTACATTAAATAATCCAGGAACTTAGAGGATTATTTTCATTTAGAATACAAGAATCTGTTTAATTTTAAAACAGTATAGAACTCATAATAGTACATTTATGAAGAATGGGTAAACACGCTTTCAGGGATTCACTCTTTCCAAACTGCATTCTTACAAAACTGGGATAAAATCAGGACACTGAGTGAGTTTACTGAGTGCAAACTGGTTTCCCACTGCTTAATGCAACAGCCTCTGTTCAGTGGCTCCTTCCTCCACCACCAGCAACTATTGTGCAGCATTAGGCAAAGCACTGAGTGTCTAAGAGCACTGGTTTTAAAATCTGTCCCCTGGAGCTGTGCCTTCTCTAGTCTGGTCCTCGAGGACATACATTTTCACCTTGTCCTTACGAGATTCCACCTCTTCTACAACAACAATGAGCCCTGCACACAACTTATACTTGTACAATTAAACAAGAAAACAGAAAAAAAAAAAAGTCTGAATTCTGTTAAATGTTAATCCCCTTATATGCTTGTAATTTTTTTTAAAAACAAAATCATTAGGCCCATTAAATTCTGGCAGGACAGTTAAGAAAATGAGCATAAAAATATTAAGGTCCTTCCTTCCCATTTTAGGTACAAAGTCTTGCTATGTGTCATTGGCTGGTTTCAAACTTGCGGTCCTCCTGTTTCAGCCTCTAGAATGCTGGGTTTACAGTCCTGTGCTACCACACTCAGCAATAAAAGTAGTAATTCCATGATGAATTAGTACCATGGATCTAACATTAAATTTTATGTTTGTAATAAATGATAATTTTCAAAACAGTGTTATATGCAGAAATGTATACACATGAATATGTGTATCTATGTATGTAAATATATGATATATATTTAATATAAATGTTATTTATAACTTATAAATATATTTATGAATATAATACATCAAACAAAAATGTATATTAATATATATACTATACTATACATATATATAGTATATACACATATATAATTTAATGCAAATATACACGTATTTGAATTTAAATAGAATACAGTCTATTTGCTGATTTCTTCCAAACTACACTACCTAAGATTACTGCAGGCCTTTACACTGCTACTCTAAACTCACAGGTACTTCATATTTAAAAGACTGTCTGGTTATATCTGTCTAAAATCCAAACAAGGCTTATATCCTTCTAAGTAATTAGTCTAATATAGAATTACCTGCTCATTAATATTTATACAGTAATTTTAAAAATAATATCAGATTGGTGAGTATAGCATGGCTTGTTTAAAACAAAATACATTAGAAGTTGTATTATTGTGAACAGATTTACAGCAAAATTACTTGGCTTTTTTTTCTTAATGAAATCAAGAAAAAAGAACAAATGGGAAATTTAAAAGACAATTTTGTGTGCATGTGTGCTTGTATGTCTGTGTTAGTACATAAATGCATGTGAGTTTCTGTGTACACACAGAAGCCAGAAGAAGGTGTCGGGTCCCTTGAAGCTGGAGCCACAGGTGTTTATTGGATATCGAGGAAGTAGATACAGGGATCTGAACTTCAGTTACCTCATGATTGTGCATTAAGTGCTGTCAACCACTGAGCTGTCTTTCCAACACACAACAGAAAAATGTAAATACCACAGAGCCCCCCTGAGCAGAAAGAAGGTAGCTATGGATAGGCAACAAATAAGTACAGGAGATAAGTTTAATCTTGATCTCATCACCTTTGTTAATCTTTGAAATGATTACCTCCTAACGAGTTAATTACAAAGGGACACTTACTGAGTCAAAGTTCTGATTTCCAAACTCATTTTAGAGAAGCAGAAACTTTATTTCTTTTCCTTATTTTTTTCCAAT